GCTATTGTTGAGGTGCCTAAAGAATTGGCTGTGTGCACTTTTGTGAATTCTCAAGAGTGCTGGATAGAATGAGTTGCATGCTGGCTATTGTTGAGGTGCCTAAAGAATTGGCTGTGTGCACTTTTGTGAATTCTCAAGAGTGCTGGATGGAATGAGTTGCATGCTGGCTATTGTTGAGGTGCCTAAAGAATTGGCTGTGTGCACTTTTGTGAATTCTCAAGAGTGCTGGATGGAATGAGTTGCATGCTGGCTATTGTTGAGGTGCCTAAAGAATTGGCTGTGTGCACTTTTGTGAATTCTCAAGAGTGCTGGATGGAATGAGTTGCATGCTGGCTATTGTTGAGGTGCCTAAAGAATTGGCTGTGTGCACTTTTGTGAATTCTCAAGAGTGCTGGAATGAGTTGCATGCTGGCTATTGTTGAGGTGCCTAAAGAATTGGCTGTGTGCACTTTTGTGAATTCTCAAGGGTGCTGGATGGAATGAGTTGCATGCTGGTTAAGCATGCGGAATCGATGACTCACAGGGATTTAAGTGCGTTTGTATGGTTCACGAGAACGTTCAATGACTACCAACGGACATTCCTTTTGAGTCAGCAACGCCCAAGCAACACACGAGGTGACTTTTGAGTCGACTCAAAAGTCATAAGGTTCAATGAATACCAAAGGACATACCTTCTGAGTCGCCTCAACAGTGCGTTTGAACGGTTCACGAGAAGGTTCAATGAGAAGGTCCAAAAAACATGCCGTTTGAGTCAGCAAACACCAAGGCAACACACGAGGTGACTTTTGAGACGACTCAAAAGTCAGAAGGTTCTGTGATTACCAAAGGACATGCCGTTTGAGTCAGCAGACACCAAGGCAACACAACACAGGTGCACAGCACATCATTCCCCACCCACACCAAACCCGAACCTGACACACAAGGTTTAATGCCCTAGATACACAAGGTTGAACCTGGCTTACAACGAACATGCCCTTTTGAGTGAGGAACGCCTACTCAACACACGTGCACTGCACATCTCACCTGTGGCATCATTCCCCACCCACACCAAACCCGAACCTGACGCACGAGGTTTAATGCCCTAGATACGCCAAGACCTGTTTTTTTTCAGAATGTTAAAAAAACGTCATTCCCCACCAACACAAATCCCGAACCCGACACACAAGGTTTAATGCCCTAGATACGCCAAAACCTTGCCTGGATCCAGTGACCATCTGCATTCTCGTGAGACAGAATGCAGCACCAGTGAGACACTTCAAGAAGTTACTGAACCTTTATCGAACCTGACATGCAAGGTGTAATTCGCCAACACGACATCAGCATTGTATGCAGAATGCAGCACTAGTGAGACACACACGAAAACCAAGAGGCTCAGGGTGTGTTTGGGTACATTCAAAAACCTTATGCAGCATGCATGCAGCACAGCGTTAACACCCATCTCAGAGACATCTGTATCGAGAGGACTCAGACGCTCACCATCACTGCCCTTCGACCTGAGACACTTCAACATCCACTCTCCATGTAGCATGCAGCACCATTGAAACACCCATGTCAGAGACGTCTGTATCGAGGGGATTCAGAAGATCATCATCATCACTGCCCTTCGACTTTCAGACGCCTCACCATCCCTTTTTAGCACCCATTTTTCTCTCCAAGCAAAGTTAGATTCCAAGTCCTTCCGAGCTTCCCTCTCCGCCCTCCTCCCTTCCGCAACCGAAGGCGGATTCTCAACAGAATCCAACCATCAGCCAGCATTTCAATACTCTCTCTATGAGAGCCACTTCAGTGAATCAATGGAGAGGTTGGAGAATCTTTGTGCCAGCCTCTCTCTCCGTGAGTGGCTGTTCCTTAGCTCCGATTGACTTGGGATCCAACTCTGCTCGGAGAGAAAAATGGGAGCGCTCAGGATGATGGGAGCGCTCAGGATGATGGGTGCGCTCAGGATGATGGGTGCGCTCAGGATGATGGGTGCGCTCAGGATGATGGGTGCACTCAGGATGATGGGTGCGCTCAGGATGATGGGTGCGCTCAGGATGATGGGTGCGCTCAGGATGATGGGTGCGCTCAGGATGATGGGTGCGCTCAGGATGATGGGTGCGCTCAGGATGATGGGTGCGCTCAGGATGATGGGTGCGCTCAGGATGATGGGTGCGCTCAGGATGATGGGTGCGCCCAGGATGATGGGTGCATGGCTCCAGGGGCCAACTTGATCAAAGTTGGGTTCTGAGACCCAGCTTCATGGCTGCATATCTCAAATCAAAGCCCAGCTTCATGGCTGCATATCTCAAATCAAAGCCCAGCTTCATGGCTGCATATCTCAAATCAAAGCCCAGCTTCATGGCTGCATATCTCAAATCAAAGCCCAGCTTTTATCACGTGGGTGGGTGCATGGCTCCAGGGGCCAACTTCACGAAAGAACGAGCAAATGTGGGTGCGTTTCCTAATCTACTCGCCTCAGTTTTTTCGCTGAGGCGTGTCAGCTTAACAACTGTGGGTGCTTGAAGAGTCCTGTTTCAGAACGACTTTTGAGACGTCTCAATACCAAGGGTGCTTGGGACGTCTCAATACCAAGGCGCCTCAGTTCAGGAACAAGCATGGGTGCGTGAAAAGCTCTGTTTCAGAACGACAGGTACGCTCTTGCCAATGCCAGGAACGGTGGAGTTGCCACCTGAAAGAGTTGAGGGTCCACCTGAAGCCACGAAGATCCCACCTGAAGCCACAAAAACCCACTTGACGCTATAGACAACCCTCCTGAAGCCACAGAAAACCCACCCGAGGGACAACCACAGGTAACCCAAACAAAGGCATTAAACTACCCACCTGAAACCAGAGACAGTGGAACACGAAGCCACTGGGTGAATTTTGCGAATTCTCAAACGCGCTTCAGAGAATTCTCGAACGCTACCCACTTGAACCAGAGGTAGTGGAACCTGAAGCGACTGGGTGACAGACAGAATAGCAGCAGCGAAGACTCACCTAACACAACCGAACACAATACCACCTGAACCCATTACCTCTGCTCCACCTCCTCAAACTCATCCTCCTCCCCCGCCTCCTCCTTTCCGTCTCTATCCCACCCACCCCTCTCTCACCCTTGTCTCGCCCTGCACTCACCCCTGTACTGTCGCACCTCCCACTCGCAAGGTCCGCTTTTCCCCAGTGGCTCTCGCGGCGCCGTCTGCTGCACCGTCCATCCCACTCATCCTCTTCATCCTCCTCCCCCACCTCCTACTACCCTCTCTACCCCCCACCCGGCACCCACCCCTCTCTCACCCTTGTCTCGCCCTGCACTGCACTCACCCCTGTGCTGTCGCGCCTCCCACTCGCAAGCTCCGTTTTTTCCCTAGAAGCTCTTGCTGCGCCTTCTGAGACGTCTCAATAGTCACCTCCCACTCGCAAGGTCCGCTTTTTCTCTAGAAGCTCTCGCTGCGGCATCCGCTGCGCCGCCTTCTGTCCGTCCGTTGCGCCGTCTGCTGCGCCATCCGCTGCGCCGCCTTCTGTCCGTCCGTTGCGCCGCGTGCTGCGCTTAGCGTGTCGCTCGTAGCGTGCTGCACCTGCTATAGCGCCGCTTGACGCTGCCGCATCGCAGCCATTCAATGCCCACTTATCCATCTAATGATGCGATCCTGCGTCGATGCCATCAGTAATCACCACCACCCGCGGCTCTACCGCAGCTGATTGTAGCGCTTCAGCACCTGCCGCATCGCTGCCATTCATAGCCTTCTTAACCACCTACTAGCGCTGCGATCCTGCGTCAATGTCATCAGTAATCACCACCGCAGCTGATTGTAGCGCTTCAGCACCTGCCGCATTGCTGCCGCATCGCTGCCGCATCGCTGCCGCATCGCTGCCATACAATGCCCCTACTGCTGCGATCCTGCGTCGACGCCATGATCAGCGGCAGCTCTACCGTCGCTCATTGTAGCGCTCCAGCACCTGCCGCATCGCTGCCATTCGGTGCCTTCTTAATCACCTACTAGCCATATGATCCTGCGTCGACGCCATGATCAGCGGCAGCTCTACCGCCGCGCAACCCAGACCTTCGAGGGTCACTGACCTCAAAAGTCGCCGTCCGCGGCTCTACCGCCGCTCAATCCCGCCGAAGCAGCAGCCGAAAGCAGCAGCGCAGCAGCAGCGGAAGTAGCGGGGGCTGCTGCGTCGTCGGTAGCGATGTCCTGTGCGTTGCTCCATGAGTCAAGACTCAAAAGTCACCTTGCTCCATGATGAATCACTTTCGAGAACGCTTCCTGCAGCGCTTTCCTATAAATAGCGAGGCGCTTGAGAATGGTAAGGCGTTTATGGCCACGAGGCGCGAGCCGCTTGAGAATAGAATAGAAAAAATATGAATGTCCTGTGCGTTGCTCCATGATGAACCCCTTTCGACACCATCGCCTGCAGCGCTTTCGTACAGATAGCTGCGAGGCGCTTGAGAATGGTAAGGGGATGAAAGCGAGAATTTCCGAGACAGACGCCACGCGGGTGTCTGAGATGGTGACAGCAGTCAATGACGTGTACTGACACGTGACATTACAAGACTAGCGTAGCGAAGTATTCATTTAGGTCACGGACGGAACTTGCTGGTGGCGGACATGAACATTCGCTTTTGGACAATCTGAATCTACCGTACATGTTGAAAAAAAAAACAGATATTCCAAATAAATGTTTCTCATCTGCATATTTCCAGACAAACAAATAATACGGAGTCAGATGAATTTACAGGAAGGGTCTGAAAATTTCAGACGATAAAACAAACAGGTCTGACAGTGGTATCGTACGCTTGTTGTTTCAGCCATATTTGTACATTATTGTTCCACACTCCTAACCACAGCTTGAACATTAGGGGCAAAAACAGCGAAAGGGGGATGTTCCTGCTGCCCTGGAAACCCCCAAGAAGCAAGCATCACGCACGGTACTAAAAAGAAACCAAAGTAAAGAACCCCTACCCATATACCCCAACCCCAAGAGTACGGTAAATTTATTTGGCACACTAACGAGAACCGCTACAATACAAGTGCATCGTCCATCTCAAAATCTGCAAACCCGGCATCCACGAGTGCAGCAAGCAGCTCATGCGCCACGATCGGCTTGCGCACGGCTCCATCCATCCCCGCCTCAAAGCACGCTCGCTTCACCCCAACATCCAGATCTGCCGTCAGTGCTATGATGCACAGCCGCTGAGGACAGGCTCCTCTTGAACCCCCCATTTCCTGCACTTCTTTCACTGCCTCATCTGCTGCTGTTGACTCCTGAGGCGTCTGAAATGAGAATTCGTTGTCTGAACCGTCGGCTGCTGTCGTCGACTCTTGCGGCGTCTGAAAACTGAACTCGCTCGCTGCCTCGTCATCGGCTCTTGCTTCATTAGCTCCTTCTGCTTTGCTTGCTGTGTCTGCTTCGTCTGCTCCAGCCTCATTGGCTGCTGCTGTCTCCGCCCGGTCAGCTCCTCCGGCGTCTGCTTCGTCGGCTGCTTTTGCCTCTGCCACGCTCAAAAGCTGCTGTTCGCTCTCCATGCGCCGGATTCGCCGAGCCGTTTCGAATCTGCAGCATGGGGAGCAGTAGGCACAAGGTTAACGAAGGTGGGGGTTGTGTTGAAAAGCATCTGAACAACGTCAAAAGCGGCACTCATCAAACCAATGGAGCAGCACTGCCCCTTGTTCCCCTTGTTCCCCTTCTCCCCCCCTCCTCCCATTCTGCACCAATGGAACAGTGCCATGCACCGGATTTGACGTGCCACTTCAAGTCTGCCTCTTGGGAATTTACAAAAGAAGGCCACGAATGGCAATCCAATCAAACCGTTTGTAACTTTCAGCACAGGTCCCCACACTGCCGTCATGACGTCGCAACCAAGTTAGAAAAAAAAAAAAAAACGCTCACCTGTACTTCCGTATTGTGTTTATATGCTACAAAAGTACGTACGCGTGTTTTCGTGAAAACACGCGAAAAAACGCCTAGGCAAACCGGGGAGAAAGAAAAAACCAGAAGCTGGGTTTGAGCCGGCGACATGGCGCCCTGAAATGTTTATCTGCCCGGGCCTGCGACTTCTGTGCGTACCGGACCCTTCCCGCGCAGCGTACAGCTTTAATGTGCTAGCGGATATACGCTTGCGTAGAAAACGCGAAACACGTTAATTCCAACTTAGGTTGTGTTGTGGCATAAAAGGGGAGGCAGAAGCAGGGAGGGCATGAGGGGTGAGGGAAGGAAGGCACTAACTACCAGGCCTTAGGGTGAAGATCAGAGTCGTCCCAAAAACTCGATTTTGAGATGAATAAAAGCAGGGAAGCACTCACCCGTCAATGCCAGGAGGCATGTAGAGGTCCAGCAGCAGCAGTTGGAGGGGCGAGGAGAGGGAGGAGGGGGAGGGAGAGGGGTCGATGTTGGAGGAGGAAACAGCTTGCAGGGCGTCCTCTCCCGAGGCCAGCAGCAGCACGTGGGCCCGTATGCAGCGAGGCAGAGAGGCACTCACCCATCAATGCCAGGAGGCATGTGGAGATCCAGAAGCAGCAGTTGGAGGGGCGTGGAGGGAGAGGGGTCCATGTTGGAGGAGAGAGCTTGCAGGGCGTCCTCTCCTGAAGCCAGCAGCAGCACGTCTGCCCCGTAGCCCTGCAGCGTTCGCCGCGCCACCATGCGGTTCACCGCGTTGTCGTCCACCACTGCCACCCGCTGCCCCACCACCGCCGCCCGCACCGCCGCCTCCGCGCCGCCCGCTCCGCCGCCCAAAATCCCCCCAACACCCCCCCTGCCGCTGCCTCCCAAGCTGCTCCCGATGCTGCCCGCTGCTAAGCGGAAAGTCGAGTGTGCCATTGCTTGCAGGTGCAGCCTTGCTGGGCTCAAAGGGTTTACTGGGCTCAAAGGGTTTACTGGGCTCAAAGGGTTTACTGGGCTCAAAGGGTTTACTGGGCTCAAAAGGTTTACTGGGCTCAAAGGGTTTACTGGGCTCAAAGGGTTTACTGGGCTCAAAGGGTTTACTGGGCTCAAAGGGTTTACTGGGCTCAAAGGGTCTACGGGGCTCAAAGGATTTACTGGGCTCAAAGGGGCACCTGTGCTTAAAAGGGCTAGTGGGCTCAAAGGAACAACTGGGCTTAAAGGGTTTACTGGGCTCAAAGGGGCTATAGGGCTTAAAGGAGCAACTGGGCTCAAAGGGACAGAGTGTAACGAGGAGCTCCGGGAATGCCCTCTGGGGACCCCCATCCAGTGCTGCTGCAGCCCTCTGGATTGCCCCTCACGCCCCTCCCCTCGCCTGCTGCTGCTGCCCCCAGGTTCGGTTGGGGGGGCCGGTGCAGAGAGGGGCAGAGCTAGCAGGATGGTGGTGCCGATGGCGCTGTCTGACAGCACTGCCATGCTTCCCCTCATCTCCGCCACCTGGGGGAAGGAAGTGGGGTGGAGGGGGGATGGAGGGGGTTGGTTAGCGGGGTGGTGTTGCCGATAGTGCGGTTCGACAGCACTGCCATGCTTCCCCTCATCTCCGCCACCTGGAGGAGGGGGAAGATGTGGGGTTGGTTGGGGGGGTAGGTGTATATAGCTGGAAATCTAGCAGGATGGTGGTGCCTAAGGCAGCGTCTGAGAGCACTGCCATGCTTCCCCGCATCTCCGCCACCTGGGAGGGGTGGGGAGGCAAGGAGAGCGGCAGGGAGGAGTGAAGAGGGTTGCGAGTGGAGGCATGTGGTGTATGTATGCCCTCAAAATGGCAATTCAGACATGGCAAGCATTTTTGAAACCTCAGCCTTTAATGCTGTGCCACCTTCCGTTCCCACTTCTTCAACAGCGTTGCATTGTCTATGACAAACAAACCTTTTGAGGCGCCTCAGAAGCCGTTATCTGAGATTGCCAACCTCCTGAAGTGTCACATTACGTCCGACAACTGCCACATGGATCTCAAATCCCAGTCACATGGACCTCGTTACACATCCCTGCTCTCAAATAGATCCCAGTGCACCTCGTTGGACAACTTCCTCTTGTACAACCTAGACTTGTTTGGCATCCTTGCCAAGATGTTAGAGCTCGAGCTTTGAGACGTCGCAAAACCTTGCCAAGATGGTAGTGCTCACTCCAGCCTTAACAAACTCAACGGTGTGTCTTCAACAGGCAACTAGCCTTCCCAATTTGGACGCTACAACACTCTAAGGTGACGATTCAGTCGAGGATTGCAGCAATCACAAGGGAGGTGGAGAGGAGGAGCACTCACGAGGGAGGTGGAGAGGAGGAAGCGGACAGGGTAGGGCGTCCAGGCAGGGCGAGCAGCAGCCCTCTCGTCGTGAGTGAGAGGGGTGGCTCTGCTGCCCCTCCTTGGCTGCTGTGGGCATAGCAGAACAAGCATGCAGAGAGTGCGAGAGAGACAGAGATAAGGCATGAGGAGGGTGAAGAAGGAATATGGGCGAGGCAGGGAGGGAGATGGAAATGAAGGTAAGGGGAGAAGGCGAGGAACCCTCCAATGCAGTCACATGCACACAAGCACACTCGCACGCACTCATCTCCCGCTTCACTCACCGCAACTCTTCGTTGCTTCTTGCTGTCCCCACGCCCACCACCCCCACCCTCAACGCCATTATCAGCAGCAGCAGCAGAGGAGCACGTGGAGTGGTGAGGGTCGCCACCATACGGATCCAGCACCCACCGCATCTCCTCGGGTGGTATACCACCGCCCGTATCCTCACAAGCCATCACCACCATCCACTCGCCCTCCCCTCTTGCCCTGCACGCCCCCTCCACCCACGCCACCACCTCCCTCTCTAGCCGCCCTTCCCTACCACTCTCCACCGGCCCATCTCTACCATTCTCCACACCTGCATTTTGCCGCTCACCCACACATGTTGCCCCCCCACTTCTCCCTCCTCCCAACCCTCCCAGCAGGTCCAACCTTCCCAGCCCTCCCAGCCTTCCCATCCCTCCCGCCCCTCCCAGCCCTGCCAGCAGCCTTTCACCCTGACTCTCCGCTCGTGTGGAGCGACTTTCCAGGGGTGCAGTGAGGTGCTGAGGGGTGCACACCAGGCGGGTGTCTGGGGGAAAGCGTTGCACACACGCTACCAGCTGTTGCCAGGCTGTGGGGGCGAGCAGGGGCGCAGAGGCTGGAGACAATGGGGGGGTGCGATAGGCTAGAAGGGAGCGAGGGGATTGAGGGGCGGCAGGGGCTGGAAATAATGGAGGGGTCTTAGGGGATTGAGGGGTGTGAGGGGATTGAGGTGCTGGTGAGGTTGGTGGGGTGAGATGGGTGCGAGAGTTTTGAGGGGCTTGAGATGATTTGAGGGCGGGGGGAGGTTGGCACGAGGTGGGTTTAGGAGGAAGGGATGAAAGCGGTGTGCTGCAGCATTGGGAATGAGGGGTGGCAGGACGAGGGGAGGACAATTGAGGGGTGGTGGGACGAGAGGTGGTTGGAGGAGGGGTGGTGGGACGAGAGGTGGTTGGAGGAGGGGTGGTGGGACGAGAGGTGGTTGGAGGAGGGGTGGTGGGACGAGAGGTGGTTGGAGGAGGGGTGGTGGGTCGAGAGGTGGTTGGAGGAGGGGTGGTGGGTCGAGAGGTGGTTGGAGGAGGGGTGGTGGGTCGAGAGGTGGTGAGGCAAGGGGTGGTGGGACGAGAAGAGGTTGCATGAGGGCCTTGCTGGAGAGGAGGGGCGGCACACCACACATGGAAGGTGATGTCGCCCGCTAGAGTGTTGCTCGCTGCATGCGCTGCAAGACGGGCGGATGTGGAGAGGTGAATGGGAGCAAGAAAGAGAGATAAGTGAGCAAGTGAGTAAAACCTGCCACACGGGGAAATCGCTGTCAAAATCTAAACCACTACACCACTGTGATAAAATGGCTTGTTAAGTAGCGCATGAGTGCGCCCATAACCCCTTAGGCTCTGATCTTGTAACCCTTCCCTAGGATCAATCGGGGATTTCCAGTGCAGGTCTTCTGACACCCCCTCTTACTGGGATGCCCTAAGATACGGCACAGCGGCAGCGACACATGGGCGCGAGCATGTGCGCACAAGAAGATTCGAACCCGAAACATCTGCTCTGATACCATGTCAGAATCTCAGCCACTATACCACTATGATAAAACGGCTTGTTAAGTAGCACGTGAGTGCACCCATAACCCCCCTCTATCTCTAAACCTGTAACCCTTCCCTAGGATCAGTCAGGTATCACCAGTGCAGGTCTTCTAACACTCGCCTCACCCCCCCTTCTTAATGCATCTTTCTTGATTACAATCCATCCTCACCCGACGACCTCTTCCTTCATCGTCTCTCAGGTTGCCAGGTCCAAAATCGGGACGTGGATTTTGATGAGTCCACTCCCTACTATTCCTCACCTCCCGCTAGCAACCCTCTCTCTTCCTGACCCCGCTACCCGGTGGTACGAGTAACAACGCTACCCTCTCCTCTACTTCGTCCTCCTCCCATCCTCCCCCCATCAACCCCCCTTCCTTCTTCTACCTTCCTTCACTCACATGTCACCTCCATCACATGTCACTTCCATTCACATATCACCTCCACTCGCATGTTACCTCCACTTACCGTCACCTCCACTCACACGTGATTTCGCCCACGACTTGCGCCAGTCGCGTTGGATCGCCCATCAGCACATCCGGCAAGCTTGGATCCACATGGCAAGATACTGCATCCCAGAGACGACATAGAGAATATTCTATGGTAAATACATCATGACTTCAATGTTATGAATGATAGAAATGATATTACAACATTTGAAGGTCCACATCAAACACTATAATAAGTCATAGCTTCGTAGGATAGCACTCGTAGCTTTGCACAAAAAACTTTCATACCTCTCAATCCCTTGGGCCAAAACAACACATACCTTTCAACCCCTATCCACAGAGCATCTCTCGCACCTTGCAACCCCCTGGCGCAAGGGTCTTGAGCAGCGAGGGAGACAGCATGCTGAGCCACGCGGGGCAGGCAGAGCGGGAGAGCCTCGAGCTGCAAGCGGCCGGCCTGCAGCTTGGCGAGGTCGAGCACGCGGTTGATGAGGTCCACCGTCTCCCGCGCACACTCCCCCGCATCCCTCAGATCCGCCGCTTGCCACTCCTCCAGTGGCGACTCCAGCAGCATCTCTATCATCCCTGTGAGGTCCAGAATTTACAGGGAGAAGGGGAGAGATAGGGAGAGGCAGGGAGAGACAGGGAGAGGCAGGGAGAGAGACAGGGAGAGGCAGGGAGAGGCAGGGAGAGGCAGGGAGAGGGACAGGGAAAGGGGGCATTGTCACAGGGAGCAAAGAAAGCACACAGCCACACGCGCACTCGAGCACGCGGTTGATGAGGTCCACCGTCTCCCGCGCACACTCCCCCGCGTCCCTCAGGTCCGCTGCCTGCCACTCCTCCAGTGGCGACTCCAGTAGCATCTCTATCATCCCTGGGAGGTGGGGTTTCAGAGAGTGAAACCATGAGGGCTGTTGTCACTGGACGGAATTTTGGAGAAAACAGGAGGCACAGCCACGCACGCACGAAGGCGAACGAAGAGGGAAGGTAAGCAGACAGACAAAGAGGTGCCAATCTGCCAATCTGCCAATCTGCCAACTGCACGAAGGCGAACGAAGGCGAACGAGGGCGAACGAAGGCGAACGAAGGCGAATGAAAGTGAGTGAACGAGGGTGAACAAAGGTCAACGAAGGCGAACGAAGGCGAACGAAGGCGAACGAAGGCGAACAAAGGTGAACAAAGGCGAACGAAGGCGAACGAAGGCGAACTCCCACCTATCATGCCGATGATTGGCGTGCGCAGCTCGTGAGACAGGTTCGCCACGGTCTCGCTCTTGGAGCGCTCTGCCTTCTCAAGCGCTGCCGTGCAAACCTCCATCTCCCTCACGCCCTCCGCCATTTGCCTTCGCTTCAACGCCAGCATGGCAATCATGGTTGACAGCAGCAGCGCCACCAGCAGCACCAGCAGCCCCAGCAGCATGGGTGCATAGACCAGGTCCCACTTGGGGTATGCGCCCTCGAAACTGAGGGAGTGGAATGAAGAAGGGAAGAACAGTTTTCAAGTAGACTCAAAAGGGAAGAAGCAGCACTAGCAGCAGCGCCACCAGAAGAACCAGCATCTCCAGCAGCACGAGGAGTGGAAGGGAGACGGGGAGAATTTTTATGTTCGGTTGATGCAAAAGGTAGAAACCGCACCACCAGCTACCCCAGCAGCATGCGTCACGCCCTCCGCCATGTGCCTTCGCTTCCGGTAACGTGGTGCATCACGGTGGATTGCGGTGGAACGCGGTGGAACATGGTAAAGGTATCGCGTCACCCACCTGCAGTGCGCCTCATAGGTCCTCCCGAACAGCCCCTCTGGGAACGGCTCGACGTGGTCACTGCGAGGAAGTGCCGGTCCAGGGGTATGCACAGCGATGCATTGCGGTGAAATGTGGTGGAACGGGGTGGAACACAGTGGCACCCACCCACCTGCAGTGCGCCTCATAGGTCCTCCCAAAGAGCCCCTCCGGGAACGGCTCGACGTGGTCGCTGCGAGGCAGGGCCGGCGAGGGCAGCACGAACGGGAAGAAGGCGCCTTTCTCCAAGATCGGCGCATCTGGACCGTAGATCTGCACCAGCTCGCCCGGTTGTGTGCTGTCGTAGAGCGCAAAGGAGTAGGTGGGAGTGGCTGTGTGGGAGGACACATGGCATAGGAAGTTGAATAGGGAGGAACACGGGGAGAATATGAGATGTGCTAAAGGGCAATGCAGTCCTGACCCAGCTCGTCTGGCTGCATGCCGTAACAGGGAGCAGAGGAGAATGCGGTGCCGCAGGTGAAAAAGGGGCATGGAGTTGACTTTTGAGTCGACTCAAAAGTCAACTCGTAACAGGGAGCAGAGGAGAATGCGGTGCCGCCGGTGAAAATGAGGCACGTGGGAAAGACAACAGAACGTAGGGAGAATGCAATGTGCATCGGCTCAGCTGGCTGTGTCTGTATGTGCACCAGCTCAGAACGTGGCGAGTATGGGATTTAACGAGCTTGGTCTGCTCTGCTGGATCTGGGCCGAACCTAAACTCTTCCGTGGGGAGAAAAAGATGTGCGCCAGCTCAGCTGGCTGTGAGAATGTCCCTCAGGCAAATCTGTTGAAATTTCTGTAGAGAATAAACACACAAACAAACGCACGCACGCATGCGCGCACGCCCGCGGGCGCACACGCACGCACGCAAGGTTTTCAAAGCAAGTTTCTACACACACTAAACAAACAGTTTGCTAAAAGCTGCTGCTGCCACACAAAGACCATGTCTCCTGTTTGGGGTTCGATTGGACTTTCCCGCGGGCGCACACGCATGCACGCATGCACACGCACCAAACATTTGGCCTTGCGTTGCCACCAGTCTCGGCGAGCTACTGAATTAAGCTGTCTCACCATTTCCACTTTCTTGCCCTCCACCACTCCAGCTGCACCACAGCAGCCCATGTGGTACTGATGCTCTCCCTTTTGAGGCGCCTCTAAAGTCGTTGTTTGCTCGCCACCACTCCAGCTGCACCACAGCAGCCCATGTGGTACTGATGCTCTCCCTTTTGAGGCGCCTCTAAAGTCGTTATTTGCTCGCCACCACTCCAGCTGCACCACAGCAGCCCATGTGGTACTGATGCTCTCCCTTTTGAGGCGCCTCTAAAGTCGTTATTTGCTCGCCACCACTCCAGCTGCACCACAGCAGCCCATGTGGTGGTACTGATGCGCTCCATAATCAGTTTCAAGGTGCCTTCAATACCGTCTTCTAAGCATCATATACCTTCTCCATCATCCTGCAGCATACCATACCTTCTCCATCATCCTGTAGCATCTCGAGTATGTTCCGCGCCCGCCACTCCAGCTGCACCACAGCGCCCCACAGCGTGCTGATGCTCTCCCTTGTCTCCTGCGCTGATGCACTGGCTGGCACGGGCTGGCGCAGAATGGTAATGACGAAAACTGCGAGCAAGGGGAGGGAGGGACAGGAAGAGAGAAGGGATGGATATCGCGAGCTCCTCATCCACGTTGCATGTCAAGTGTGGATGAGGAGCTTGCGACATGTCAAGTGTGGATATGCTCGCGATGTAAGATGTAAGATGTCTCTAAAGTAGGCTCGAGACATGCAACAAAACACGAGTTGTTGTTGCTGGTGTTGCTTTTTTTTTTTTTTTTTTTTTTTTTTTTTACTCGTTACGAGTAACATACTCGAGACAAGTACTAGACTCTCCTTTGACGAGATCGTTTGAGACGTCTCAAGAGCCTGAGTGGGACTACCATACCGCGTGCGAGCTGCTATGATATTTCGTTACAACAAGTAGCCAGAACACACTTACACTAGGATAGGAAGGAACACGCGCACAGCACAGCACAGGGGTAAGGTTGGGGCACGCACCACTGGATACGTGACCAGGAGCAACGAACAGATTGAGCTATTTTTGAGTCGACTCAGAAACACGCACAGGGATTGGGACTAGGGCACGCACCACTGGACACGTGGCCAGGAGCGACGAACAGCGGGGGGGCAGCACTGGGCTTGCCAGCGAGCAGGCCGGCAAGGGCATCCGGACAAATGAGGGGAGAGATGTCTGTCAGCAGCGCCTCAAAAAGCGATACAGGGTTAGGGTTGGGGCACGCACCACTAGACACGTGACCAGGAGCGACGAACAGCGGGGGCCCAGCACTGGGCTTGCCAGCGAGCAGGCCAGCGAGAGTGTCAGGCGGAATGAGGGGAGAGATGTCTGTCAGCGGCGGAATGTTCTCTTCCGTGTTGCCGACGATGTTCACGTCGTACAGGTCCTTGTGTGGCGCTGGCAGCCCCAGTACAGAGCGCACCTGATAACCTGTGATTTTCTCCACTGTAGCTCTGCATGGATGGGTGGGGTTGGGTGGGGCAGGGTGAGAAGAGGAGACACACATCAGATCAGATGTTGACGTCGTACAGGTCCTTGTGTGGCGCTGGCAGCCCCAGCACGGAGCGCACCTGGTACCCTGTGATGTTCTCTACTGTGGTCCTGCATGGGCGGGAATGGGTGAGAATGGGTGAGAATGGGTGCGAATGTGGCCCCAGCACGGAGCGCACCTGATACCCTGTGATCCTCTCCGCTGTAGCTCTGTGTGGGTGGGGTGGGCGAGAATGGGTGGGCGAGAATGGGCGGTCTTTGAGACGCCTCACCAGGCCTTCCCTCACGAGCCCTCCCCGCACCACACCTGTCCCACCCTGCACCTGTCCCACCCTGCACCTGTCCTCCCCCGCACCTGTCTTCCCCCGCACCTGTCCTCCCCCGCACCTGTCCTCGCCCGCACCTGTCCTCCCCCGCACCTGTCCTCCCCCGCACCTGTCCTCCCCCGCACCTGTCCTGGTCACCATAGAGCAGCAAGAAGGCGCTGCCGCTGCTGTAGTTGGCGATGCGGTCTTTACGACGCCTTCCTCACATGCTATGTTCAGTCAGTACCACCATCACGGTGTGCCTCTCACCTGTCCTCCCTCTCACCTGTCCTGGTCACCGTAGAGCAGCAGAAAGGCGCTGCCGCTGCTGTAGTTGGCGATGCGGTCGGCCCACATCGTGTACTCCAATAGATTCACGTTGTTCACGCACCCCGCCAGCCCCCAGTAGCTCAGGTTGCTGCTCCTGCGAGGGCCAAACGACCCCAGCACCCGCATCAGCCCAGTCGACTCCTGGTATGGGTGTGTGAGAATTGAAAGAGAGAATGATTGAAAGGCTGTTGTTCACGCACCCCGCCAGCCCCCAGTAGCTCAGGTTGCTGCTGCTGCGCGGCCCAAACGACCCCAGCACCCGCATCAGCCCAGTCGACTCCTGGCAGGGCGGGGCAGGGCAGGGCGGGGCGGGGCAGGGCAGGGCGAGGCAGGGCAGGGCAGGGCAGGGCGGGGCAGGGCGGGGCAGGGCGGGGCAGGGCAGGGCAGGGCAGGGCGGGGCAGGGCGGGGCAGGGCGGGGCAGGGCGGGGCAGGGCAGGGCAGGGCAGGGCGGGGCGGGGCAGGGCAGGGCGGGGCAGGGCAGGGCAGGCAGTTTACATGGCTCTAAGCGGGGCTGCTACTGCTGCTCGTGTGTGCTCCCATTGGTTGTATTGTAACTGTCGACACTTGCAACACCCATCACGAATTGCACCACTACTAACAATAAACCCTTCCACCACACTGCACCCCTTGTTATTTCCCCGTCCGCCTCTGCAGCGGGAAGAGGGTTCAGTGCAGCGGGGACGAAGGGGACGAGGGGTAGGGCGGAAGGTAAGGGTAGGGCGGAAGGGAAGGGTGGGGCGGAAGAAAGGGTAGGGCGGAAACACCTGCGCGCGTACGAATGGGGATGGGCGGAAGCACCGTCGCGAATTTTAAGGTACGGCGGAAGCACTGCGCGCGCAGTACCTCGGCGCGCGCACCTCCGAGAGCGCAGTACCTCGGCGCGCGCAATGGCGGAGCGGATGTCCTGGTGGAGGTAGCGCACGCGCGTGCGGCACCACACGCCGATCGCCTCCTGCCGCGGATCGTCCGCCTGCTTGTGCGCAAACCACACCACCCACGCGCACAGCCCCACCCATCCCGCCACCCACGCCGCCCCCAGAAGCGCCCGCCCCGCCGCGCGCCCAGCAAAGAGCGCGCCGATGACGGTCGCATGGGGCGGATGAGGGGGAATGCGGAGAAGATGAGGGGAAGGTTGAGCCGATGACTAATATGAGGGGGGAGGCGGAGCAGAGGGGGGAAAGGCGGAGCAGAGGATGGGGGGAGGCGGAACTGACGAGGGCCCCAGGGGGGCGCGGAGCAGATGATAGAAAAGGCGGAATGGATGGGCGCCGAGGCGCGGCTATGATGGTCCCAAAGCTGTCGCGGTTATTTTGAGACTTGATCACTGTTTAAACTGACTCAAAAATCGAACGGCGGTAATCTTAGCTGTCGCATCGGCGGAGGACGACGAGCGACGGTCGATCGAGGCGGAAAGGCGTGGCACGCGCGGCAAGCGCGAAGCGCAGACAGGAAAGAGACTGTCATGACGTTCAAGGGATGGAATGGGAGCCCGCCCACTCGAAAACGGGTGAATCCAGGTAGGGTCGCGCGAGACTTCGTTCCTTGTATGTACATGGGTGCTCGGCTCCTCCTGATGATAACCAAATATATGGTGTATCAAGTTCTAAACGTCAGCCCAGATTGGATGTTTCGCATAACGGGGTACGCCAAGTTTGACAGCACCAAAAGGCTTTTGTTGAGACCTCGACGGCAATTGGAACTGTTTTGAGACCTCGACGGCAAACCAGAGTTACAGCCGTCCGCAAATGAACAGCACGAACTCTTTTCCCGCTGTGTCGAAATTCGTGGGCGATCTCCTTGGCGACAACTCTCAGTTACCAGTTGAAAAGGGTGCACAGCGCGTTGTGTGGTGGTCGGGTGTGAAACAGATTTGTGCTACACTCGCCACGATCATGTTCGTGTCGACTTTACAGCCGATCTGAACGGAACCTGATTTTTAGCATGAATGAAAACACGCGTGATCCCATCTGAAGGACCCCATGATTACAACAGCCAGTCACTTCCGAAGAAGAGCAGCACTTCCGATGTTTCGATTGGCCAACCCATGCATGCGCTGGCTGCGCACGACTGCTAGGGGTTCGCAATGGTGAGCACGGCACCCACGGGGTTGGGGGCCACCGTTTTCTGCACCCCCCCTCCCCCGAAGACAGCGGTTGGTCACCTGGTTGTCGGTACTGTACACCTGTGCCCGGCGACCGCTGGAGGGAACTTGGGGGGATCTACTGTTCATTACGAGCAGTACATTCCAACTCACCCTTATCCTTATCTTCCTAGATTTCCTAGTGCCACGTGGCACTCTACTTTTCTTGCCTTCAATTCCTAGTCCCATGAAGTACTTTCCGACATTCTATCTTGCATGCTATATCAACCTTGCTTGTACTTGCCATTATCAACCAATTCTCATTCATCAATTACTCAGTTACTTCTTCGCCTATTTCGCCCGCCAAAGTCTCCCGCCACGCTTTATCCTCAATTTAGTCAACCCCGCTATTCCTTAGCGGATTTAGGCCAAGGGGCATAACACTTGGTATCAGAGCTTTCGCGGGAAGCGACTTCCAACCAGCGATCGTCGACGACGAGACTACGACGCCATCGTCCCGCGGTGCCGACTTGTAGACTTGGAGTCGTCGAGCCAACATGGACGAGACCATGAACGCTCTCCCCAACGACATGGGCAACACGCTTGCTCAACTCATGCGCCAACTCGAACAGTTGACGCTGGAAATGTCAGAACATTATATAGCTTATGCTGTTGTGTAGGCTATAGTGGGGTATCCCATAAGGGGTACAACCCAATTAGGGTTTCCCATATGTACTCACTTCATTCATAGTTCAAACATTCTCGTTCTTCCTTTCACATGGAATCAGAGCAGGTCCCCTCCTAGCGACTGCTTCTAGGGCCCACCGAAGCGCGCCCCGAGGCGCGTTTTCCTTTTTTTAGCGACCCTCCGTGTCGCCCCTCGCGGCCCCGCCGCCCTCCCTTCGCGGCCCCGCCACTCTGCTCACGCGGCCCTGCCGCCCTTCCTTCGCGGCCTCGCCGCCCTACTAACGCGGCCCCGCCGCCCTTCTTTCGCGGCCGTCCTGCTCGCGCGGCCCAGCCGCCCTCTGCTTCGCGGCCCCGCCGCCCTGCTCACGCGGCCCCGCCGCCCTCTGCTAAGCGGCCCCGCCGCCCTGCTGCAGCGGCCCAGCCGCCCTCACGTCGCGGCCCGCCCGCCCTCTGCTTCGCGGCCCCGCCGCCCTGCTCACGCGGCCCCGCCGCCCTCTGCTAAGCGGCCCCGCCGCCCCACTACAGCGGCCCCGCCGCCCTCACGTCGCGGCCCGCCCGCTGCCCTACCTGCGGCCCGCCAGCCGCCCTACCTGCGGCCCGCCCGCCGCCCTAACTGCGGCCCGCCCGCCGCCCTACTTGCGGCCCTACCGCCGCCCTGCCTGCGGCCCGCCCGCCACCCTACCTGCGGCCAGCCCGCTGCCCTACCTACGGCCCCCCCGCCGCCCTACCTACGGCCCGCCCGCCGCCCTACCTGCGGCCCTACCGCCGCCCTACCTGCGGGAGCCGCCTAGCAGCAGAACCGCCGGGAGCCGAGCCGCCCTGCCGCCGAGCCGCCTGGGAGCCGAGCCGCCCTGCCGCCGAGCCGCCCGGGAGCCGAGCCGCCCTGCCGCCGAGCCGCCCGGGAGCCGAGCCGCACTGCCGCCGAGCCGCCCAACAGCCGAGCCGCCCAGCAGCCGAGCCGCCCTGCCGCCGAGCCGCTGAGCAGCCGAGCCGCCCTACTGCCGAGCCGCCCGACCTGCCCTGTCCGGTGAGCACAGCCCCACTGTCACTGCGTGCCCTTCCCCTACTGCTTGCACTGCTCGTCTGTCGTCGTCATGGCTACCCCTAGTGTCCTCGCTTTTGACGCTGAGGGTCGAGCCATTGACTTTGAGGTCTGGGTCGACGACCTGCAGCTGTTCTTACAGTGCGATAGGGCGGACGGTCTTTCCCTCTTTGACCTCACCTCTGGCGCCTCTCCTGCCCCTGCTACTGATGCTGACCCCACTGTTCGCTCTCAGTGGGCCACCCGCGATGCTGCTGCACGTCTTGCTGTGCGTCGCCACCTGCCTACCACTGAGCGCGCGCACTTTAGTCAGTACAAGAGTGCTCAGACCTTGTACGCCGCTGTAGTTGCGCGCTACTCTTCCCCTGCCACTGCTGCCCTGAGCCGCCTCATGCTACCGTACCTCTTTCCTGACCTTACTGCCTTTCCCACTGTCGCTGACCTCATTACGCACCTCCGCACTAGTGACACTCGCTACCGCGCCGCCCTTCCTGCTGAGTTCTGCGCCAAGAACCCCCCCCCCATGTACATCACTCTCTATTACATAGTCACACGCCTCCCTGACTCCCTTCGCGTAGTCAGGGACCACTACCTCTCGGTCTGTCCCACCACTCTCACTGTCGACCTCCTCGAGAAGTCCCTCCTGGCGGCGGAGAAGAGCATCGTCGCTGTAGGAGCCTCTCGTGGTGACCCTCGCACCCCCATCTTTGAGGGGTGCTCTCCTTCCCCCCTGCTGCCCTCTGTTGCCTCTGCTGCTGCTGCCGACCTGCTTGGTCTTGAGTCGGTCTGCGCGGCGTCTGCCCCTAGCGGGAGACGCCGCCCTGGCAGGGGCAAGGGGGGCAAGGGAGCGGGTGGAGCTGGCGGGGGCGGTAGAGGAGGCGGTGGAGGCGGAGGAGGGAGTGGGGGTGACGGTGGGAGTGGTGGCGGGGGCGGTGGTGGCGGTGGCAGCAGCGGAGGAGGAGGCGGTGGTGGCGGCATCGGTGGGAGCGGAGGCAGCGGTGGTGGTGGAGGTGGAGGCAGCGGTGGCGGAGGGGGTGGAGCTGGTCGGGGTGGTGCCCCGCAGCGTAGCGGCCCTAGTGGTGGCCAGCGTCAGCAGCAGCAGCAGCAGCAGCAGCAGCAGCGTTCGCGGGACATCCCCCCGCCCCAGCAGCTCCGTGAGTGGTACACGCAGCGTCAGCGGGGTGGGGGTTTTGGTCCGTGCACCTACGTCCTTCGTTCCGGTGACCGCGCGGGTGAGCAGTGTGGGGGTGCGCACCCCACTCAGCGCTGCTTTGGCCGCCTGACGGACGCTTGGCGTCAGCAGTTCCCCGAGGCCAGTGAGATTCCCCGTTGGGGAGAGCTGTCTAGGGCTGGCGTAGCTATCTTTGATCTTGACTTTGATGCTATCCTTGCTGCCATGTATGCTGTGACTATTAGTGAGGAGGGTGACTGTTACCGGTGTTTCCCGCCCGACCCGGGCATTGGTACTGCTACGCTAGGTACTTCTGAGGCTGCTGCTCTAGGTGCCAGTGCGTCTGCACTCTCAGGTACTGGTGAGGCTGCGCTCTCAGGTACTGCGTCGGCTTCGGCCTCCCTCACCTTCACGCTTGACTCAGGGGCTTCTCGCTCCTTCTTTCGAGACCGCACCACACTCACGCCGCTTGGCCGGCCGGTTGCAGTCTCCCTGGCTGACCCCACTGGGGGTCCAGTCCTCTCTCACTTCTCCACTGTCCTCCCGTGTCCGGCTGCCCCCTCGGGCACCTTGTCTGGTCTGTACCTCCCCTCGTTCTCGACGAACTTGGTGAGTGGTGCTGACCTCCAGGATGCGGGGGTTCACCAGTTTACTCCTGCGAGTCAGCGGGTGACCCACTGCTCGGACGCCCGCACAGGCCGACACCTGGCCACGTTCTCGCGTCGGCCGGGGTCGAGTCTCTACACACTGACCACTGCGTCTCCTCCTGTCCCTGCGTCTGGCCAGGTAGCTGCGTCGGGTCAAGTGTTTGCTGCTGCGTCCAGGTCTGGTCCTGAGTCTGCCCCCTGCTCGTGTCGCCGCTTGTCTCACGAGACTCTCCTGTGGCACCACCGTCTTGGCCACCCCTCCTTGCTTCGTCTTCGGGGCATGGCTTCCCGTGTCCTTGTCTCTGGTCTTCCCCGGTCTCTCCCTCCCCTTCCTTCGGGACCCGGACCTTCTTGTGTCCCCTGTGTCGAGGGGCGGCTCCGGGCTGCCCCTCACTCCTCCCAGTTCCCCCCGACAGAGGCTCCACTGCAGACGCTTCACATGGACGTGTGGGGCCCCGCCCGCGTCCGTGGGCAGGGTCACGAGCGCTACTTCCTGCTGGTGGTTGACGACTACTCGCGTTACACCACAGTCTTCCCCTTGCGCAGCAAGGGTGATGTCACTGAGGTGTTGATCGACTGGATCCGCGCAGCTCGTCTCCAGCTCAGGAGGAGCTTCGGCTCGGACTTTCCTGTTCTGCGTCTGCACTCTGACCGAGGTGGAGAGTTCTCCTCTGGCCTTCTGCGAGCCTACTGTCGTGCACGAGGCATCCGCCAGACCTTTACGCTTCCGGACTCTCCACAGCAAAATGGGATTGCTGAGCGCCGCATTGGCATGGTCATGGACGTCGCTCGTACGTCCATGATGCATGCGGCTGCCCCCCATTTTCTGTGGCCGTTTGCGGTTCGGTACGCGGCGCATCAGATCAACCTTCACCCCAGGGTCTCCCGGCCGGAGACCTCCCCAGCTTTGCTGTGGACGGGGAAGGT